GGAATAGGGAAATCCGTGGGGGATTTAAATATCCCCCGCGGGATTTAAATAAACATGGCCGCCGCTTTTTTCCCGGCTTGGGGAAAAGCCGGAAAAGAGCGTCCAGACTGGCGCGATCCTCCGGAATAAAGCCCTATTCTGGAGGATCTCTTATTCATACTTTGAAGTAGGAATAAGAGATCCTCCGGAATAGGGCTTTATTCCGGAGGATCGTGCCAGTCTGGACGCTCTTTTCCGGCTTTTCCCGAAGCCGGAAAAAAAGCGGCGGGCATGTTTATTTAAATCCGCGGGGGATATTTAAATCTCCCGTGGATTTCCCTATTCCAAAGTTCAAAATTAGCATGCCTCTTCCGAAGAAGGGGCCAGTCTAGACGTAGCCTTGATGATTACCTTTTCTGTTCACTTCCTCTGGTGCATCTGGTATTGGCCACTGTTGGCAGATGGGACACTGGGCTAGATGGACCTTTGGTCTGACCCAATGTGGCAATTCTTATATTCTAATTAATTAGTGTACAGCATTGTATTTCATCTCTGTTTTTGTCCTCTTACATAATGTCTTCCACTGACAGCCTAGAAAGCACTTTGCAATAGTGTACAGCATTGTATTTCATCTCTGTTTTTGTCCTCTTACATAATGTCTTCCACTGACAGCCTAGAAAGCACTTTGCAAATGCTGGCTCTGTGCCCTCCTGAAAATTCTACCTTAGGCCTTCAAAAATAAATTGAGGGGCACAGGGCTTTTGCTGGATTTTTTTCCAGTAGTGAGTTTCTCCCATTACTTAGTTAAGCCTCATTGCAGCCCTTTGAGAAACACTGATCTAAATTTATAAAATAAGCCTAGCAAATAAGAATACTTACCTATCTCAAAGTGGTCCGCGAAACCACTCTGAGAAACTTGCTAACTGGTTGCTCCGGTGTGTTTATTTACCAGCTCTGCAGCCACGGAGCCTCATGGTTCCCATTGACTCTGTTTCAACATTTGCAGCCTAGGGGAGCTGTCTCTAGATAGTGCTGCAGTGCCCAGGGAAACTGAGGCACACACACAGTTACCACAGAATGTCACAGGACAGTAGGAATCACATACAACACAACAAAGCTAACCAATACCCACTTGGTCACATCTCCCCCTGCTTCGAGACCGAAC